TGTAAACTTTTCCATGAATGGGAAACTCATCTTCAGGCTGAAAAGGAGCCATTTTCTTTTTGGCTTGATTTTTTTCATTAAAAAAAACCCCACAAAAAATGTTTCCCCAAATGTAAACAAGCAAATGGATGAAAGGAAATTTACAGCTGTGGGGCGTGGTGTCCCCCTTGGCCTCCCCGGGGACAGGGGCGGGCGGGAGCCCACGCCCTCAGCCCATCGAGGACGCCCCCCACCCGGCCAGGTCACAGGCCGTGTTCCGGTCTCTCCATGGCGGCCACAGCCCCGAGCGGGGTTCCCACCGACATGGAAAACCACAGGGTGGAAGCCTCGTATCCCGTGATGGGCATTTCCTAGTCGTGCCCCGGGGGGCGGCCTCCAGCAGGTGTGACCCCGCGGACCCGGAAAATGCATCGAACAGAACTAGGGTTTCCTGGCAGCCGCCGTGGCTCCAGGCGGGGGGCTCTGGTATCACGGGGGCTGCCCACGCGGCCGGGGCTGGGGCTCGAGATGGACGGGCCCCGGTCAGAGTCTGTCCTGCATCCTGGGCTCTGCACACGTGGTGCCACTGGGCGGGACCCACTGTCTCAGCGGAGTGTGTGCTCACTCGTGAAGCGGGGAGCCCGGCCGCGGGGCTCGGGGGCTGAGCGCCGCCCTGTGAACCAGGAGGTCAGGCTCGATTCCGGGTCAGGGCACAAGCCTGGGCCGCGGGTGCTATCCCCAGTGTGGGGCGTGCATGAGGCAGCCAATCCATGATTCTCTCTCTTTTTAAAAAAATATATTTTATTGATTTTTTACAGAGGGGAAGGGAGAGGAATAGAGAGTTAGAAACATCGATGAGAGAGAAACATCGATCAGCTGCCTCCTGCACACCTCCTCCTGGGGACGTGCCCGCAACCAAGGTACATGCCCTTGACTTGAATCGAACCCAGGACCTTTCAGTCCGCAGGCCGACGCTCTATCCACTGAGCCAAACCGGTTTCAGCTCATGATTCTCTCTTATCACAGATGTTTCTGTCTCTCCCTCTCCCTTCCTCTCTGACATCAATAAACATATATTTTTAAAAACGACTCAAGTCAGACACAAAGCAGGGAGCCCCTGTGGGCGGGACTAGGGGCTCGAAGCTGTGGGGTCAGAGGCTGTAGGACAGAAGCTTCTAGACCAGCGGTTCTCCACCTTCCTAATGCCCGACCCTTTAACACAATTCCTCACGTTGTGGTGACCCCCAACCAAAAAACGACTCAAGTCAGACATTCTTGTTCCAGGTCACTGTACATGGTGGTCAGTGCCCAGCAGGTTTGTGGGGAAGCAGCAGAGTGGGAGAGACCGTGGACAGGAGCACCGTGTGCAGCCGGGGAGGGGGCGGCGAGGAATGAGAGCAAGTGGCAGGAAGGCCAGTGTGTCCTTGTAGGATGGGGCTGGCCTGCTGGCCAAGTCGATATCTGATATGCAGGATGTATTTTCATTGTTACAGATTGAACATAATTAAAGCATAGTGATTAATCACAAAAACAATATGTAACTATATATGTGTTTTCTGATGGTCTTAGGCGAACCCTGTGAAAGGGTCGTTCGACCCCCAGGTTGAGAACCGCTGCTCTAGAGGCTTCAGGTGCAAAACCTGCAGAAAAGTCGATCTAGCTCTTGCACGTTGAAAGCTGTTTCTGTGCGATTGAGGGAACGCTGCCTGGGGGTGAGCTGGGCCCCCAGGGGTGGTGACTGAAGGCTGCTGAGGGGGTTCTAACTGCATCAAACGACACATAAAATACAAGCCTAAGTGTGCGTCACCTGCTTAACCACCGTTTTATTATTTATTTAAATACATGTTTATTGATTTCAGAGAGAGGAAGGGAGAGGAAGAGGGAGAGAGAGAGGAATATTAATGATGAGAGAGAATCTTGGATCAACTGACCCCGGCATGCCCCCTACAGGGAGCGAGCCAGCAACCTGGGCATGTGCCCTGCCTGGGAATCGAACCTGGGACCCTTCAGTCCGCAGGCGGATGCTCTATCCACTGAGCCACACTGGCCAGGGTCATAATAACTTTTTATGTGAAACTTCAGGGGCCTTAATTCCGTTCACGGTGTTGTCGTCACCACCACCTGCTCTGGAACTTTCTCATCTTCCCAGACGGAAACTCTGTCCCATGAAACCCTCCCTCCCGCCCCCCAGACCTGCACCCACCATCCTACTTCCTGTCTGGCGGCTGTCAGTCCCCCAGAAGAGGAATCGCCCAGTGTGTGTCCTCCTGTGACTGCTGACCTCACTCCGCACAGTGTCCGCGGGGCCGTCGTGTGTGGTGAAGTCCCTTCCTTTCTCAGGCTCCCTCCGGGTCCCTGCGTGGCCGACCCACCCCTGCTCGCCATTCCTCCATGGGTGGCCCCTGTGTGGCTCCCACACCTGGGCTGTTGTGTGTCTTTCTTTTTAAAATATATTTTTATTGATTCCAGAGAGGAAGGGAGAGGGCAAGAGACGGAAACGTCAATGATGAGGGAGAATCATGGGTCCGCTGCCTCCTGCACGCCCCCCACTGGGGATGGAGTCCGCAACCCGGGCCTGTGCCCTGGCAGGAATGGAACCGTGACCTCCTGGTTCATAGGCTGACCTTCGATCACGGAGCCGCGCTGCCTGCTCACCGCCAGGCCTCCCCCGGGCATGCGTCCTTTTCATCGCTGTCATGGAGAGCTCGTGACTGAAGGTGCAATTGAGAAACAATGCTTTCTTTCCTAAAAACTACGTTAGCTCATGGACCTAAAGCCAGGACAAAGCGAGGGGCGATAAACACAGCATCCGTGAGCGGATTTCTCTCTTGGGTGGTTGGGGGGGCTGGTGGGGTTGGACACGGGCAGGGGCGGGCACGCTGCCCGTGGTGAGGGTGGCCGGCGGAGGGGTCCCTGGGTCTGTCCCTGCTCTATGACGGGCACTTCAGCCAGTAGTGTCCGCGTGGCCTGGTGAGGACAGATGGCGCCTTGCGCTGGCCTGGCTGAGGTTCACCTGCTGTGCGTCAGGAAGTGGCCTGCTTTCTTCCTCAGGAGCTAAAAGCCACCGCCCAGGCTCCCCGCAGGCAGGCAGGCATGGGGAGGAGGGGCTGTGCGGACTCTCCCTCCTCCTGCTCTGCCCCGGCTGAGCCCCCAGGACCCCCACACAGGCCGGGTCTGGGGATCACCCCCCACTCCTGCCTGGGCTCTGGACGCACAGGTGACCTCCACGCTGCACTCCCCCTCGCCCCCGGGCTCCTGGCTGCTGGGCCACTTTGGGGTGGAGGGGGAGGCAGCCCATGTCCGCTCAGCCAGGTGGCACCCAGGGCCTGGTGGGGGGGGGGGTAGGAGGGAGCGAGCCCTGCGTGTCCCAGGGCCCGGCCGGCAGGAAGCTTGCTGCTCCGCGAGGCGCCCACGCTTCCTCTTCCTTAACGACCTCCCGTCGCCCCCACTCGGTGTCCGCATGCCAGGCTGCAGCACCCCCTCCTGCTATTTACTCCTTCAGTGTTTGTGGCTGGTCCCGCTTAGTGACAGTCGCAGACTTGGCCGGCCCGGCCTCTCCCAGGAGACGGAGGGACATCGGGGGGACGCGTCCCCCTGGACCGGAGCGGGAGGCCGATGCAGAGGGAGGGGTGTCCTGCCGGCCGGGGCCCTCGGCGTCCTCACCTGGGTGAGCAGGGCACACGCACCAGCCGAGACACACGTGTGTGGTGTGTTCTTTTAAAATACGTTTTATTGATTTCAGAGAGGAAGGTAAAGGGGGGGGCAAGGGGAGAGTGGAGGGGGCAAGGCTGCCGAGACCCGTGCCTGCCTCTGGGTCCCCTCCCGCCAGGTCCCGCAGTCCCAGCGTGGAGGCGCGGGCACGAGGACACAGTGCCCACATCACAGGCCCTGGGGTCCGGCCGGAGGACCGAGGTGGATGGGGGCAACACCTGCAATAGAATTCCCCCTAAAACACCAAGGCTGGGCCGGCCGGTGTGGCTCAGTGGCTGAGCGTCGACCTATGAACCAGGAGGTCAGGGTTAGATTCCCGGTCGGGGCACAGGCCCGGGTTGTGGGCTCCATCCCCTGTAGGGGGCGTGCAGGAGGCAGCTGATCCATGGTTCTCTCTCATCATGGATGTTTCTCTCTCTCTGTCTGAAATGAGAACAAATATATTTTAAAAGATAAAGATGTGATAGTAACAATGGCAGAGAAGTGCCTGGCGATAGGCACCTTTTCTTCCTCTGAAAGAACAGAAGTCGACGAGCATCACAGGCCTTCTCTGACGGCGGAGGTTTCTTTAAAAGTGTTTTATCGCGATAAAGCACACCCAGCGCGGCGCCCACCCAACAGTGTGGGTGGCAGTGAGGGCGCGACGGGCACGCACGCGTCCCAAGGAAGCCCCGCCACCGGAGGGGCAGGCCGCCCTC